TTGCTGACCGTGCTTCATAGCCGCGGTGGGAGATGATGTGAGGTGTTATGTATCACAGGAACCTTGCTGCAGTTGGCAATATCTCCGTGAAGCCCTGGGATGCTGAGGCCGACGCTTCCACAAGCAGCTGCCACCTGGTGGTCGGAGCATGTGCTCGTGTTGAGAAGGGGAGATATGTAGGATGGCTAGAAAAGGGTCGACCTGACACTCACCATTTGGGTATACTCGATCTATCTCGATCTTGAACCTGACAAGTCGGCAAACCAAACAACGATTGGGGGCAACCACGATTGAGAAGATCGCTACAAAACGCCCGAATGAACTCAAATCCTGACAAAGCAGGCTGCCCACCTTCCTCGGCGTTGGCCTGAGCTTCAAAAGTCACGGTCTGTTAGCCTTCCTTGCAATGCCTCCAGAAACATGGCTCTTGTTGGGGTAACTGATGCTAACTGCACCTAACTGCCCCGGCTGAAGACNNATATATGTATGTATATATACATACACACACATACATACATATATTTATACTGATACTTACATACAGTTGTATATACATGTATAATTTGTATTTATATGCTTTATATTAAGTTAGAACTTCCACCACTGTCTCCGCTTTCCTGCAAGTTCAGGGGGAAGGTGCGTGGGCTATGCTTAACGTTTAGCTTCATTGGCTATGAACCTTAGGAAGCAGAGGATGCCAAGTCGTTAGATGCTTCATCCAAGTCGCGGTGTCCGCCGGATCGAAAAACTGCGTCGCCGCCAGATCTTGGCAAGATCCGGGGTCGTCATTGTTCCCCAGCGCAAACGTATCCAGCTCTTCGCAGCACTTCTCCCCAAATTTCTGGTCCGAGCCTTATTGCCTGAAGAATGGAAAACCAACGGGATGTACACACAAGCCTGAAGCTGGGCACAGGGCATGACTGTCTTGTGGCGGGGAACTGCGCTCCCTGCCAACAAACGAGCCAGATAATCGTGTCACCTCCACCTTGCACTACCTGCCGCTAGGTGTGCGTTAAGCCAGTCCTTTGCTTCGCAAGTCCCCTAAGCCTCTAATAAGAGGGCGGTATGGACACCACCGTGCAAGGACAGCCTGAACTCGTTTGCCACATGCACCACGACGACTCAGGAGCAGCAACAAAAACAAAGAAAAACAAAACTTCCCCCCTTTCTGCGAGGCGTGTCCACACTCTTGAAGTCTGCTGATCAACAACGCCATTGGACAAATTCTCCCCTCTTCTGACTTCCCCTTGCTCTGAGCTGCATGGGAGCCTTGGAATTCGACTGCATGCACTCTCGCTCTTCCTGTCTCTCTGTGGCCCTGGGGCTCTACAGACTATTTCTGACAGCACCCCTGCCTTGCGCGGCGTCGCCGAGGCCGCCGAAAGCGCTTTGCGAGGCCTTGAAGCATGACTGTTTTGAAAACTGTTTAGGATTCAAAACAGACCATAAGTCCAAATCACAGCTTAAACCGAAGCAGTTGGATCGGAGCGCTTGCTGTTATATACGGTCAGCCGGAAGCTCTGAGTTCCGAATTAAAGTGGTCTGTGTTGCAAATCTAGTCCAGTGATTCTATTGACGAACATACTAGACTAAGACCTACACCCTGGAGCTGCAATCCCAAAACTCGTAAAGAACAAACCGAGAAACTTATGCCATGAGCCCTTAGCTTATAGGCCCCTCAGCTCAAACGTATGTATGGCCTGTAGGTGCTCTCGTTGTTCTTACTTTCCCGAGTCGTCTCCAACATTGAACCCTGAACTTTAACACCTGAACACCGCGCCCTGTTGGCCTTTTCAGCGCCAATTTCAAGACTAAAACTATAACTCTATCGCCCTCCATCTGAATCTGAAACGCAAAGGAAGCCAGAACTCATCCTGGACCCATAAAATTATCCTAGCCCCTACAAACTCCAAAGCTTAGGCCACAAAGCACTTGGTGCCGGGCGCAGGCAGAGGCTCCGGGGGTGGTAGCCGACAGGTGTTCGCCGGCCGTGCCCTGCGATTTCAGGGCAAGAAGTACGTTCTGTTCCCTACATAGAACTCTTTAGGGTTGGGGTGCAGAATGGAAGCCAAAGGATTTAGGATGTGGACTGTAACTTAGGGTTCGTACTCTCGCAGATTAGTGGACTGGGAGGTTCTGGACGAGTCGTGTACAGCTTCCAACAAGGTTGAGGGTTTGAAGGCTGTCCATGCAGGTCTGCCCGAAGACCGGGTATCCTTGCCATGCTTTGTTTCTCTCCCCCTCCAGAATCAAAGAGTTACTGACCCAAAGGCTGGCAAAGTTGGCGAAAACTCTGCCAAAACTGTTGGGGCCATGTGAAGCGGAGTCTGATAAAATCCCACCTGGAGCCCTTATCACCTGCAAACATTCTGGCATCTGCCTCGCCTCTTCTTTGGCGCTGGCGGCGGCGAAGTGCTGCCCTCGAGCCTTTGTCGCTTTTCTCGGATCTGTCCTTAGTTAGTCCAGAATGCTCCGGCATCTGGGCACCCACATGGGAAGATCCGGCGCACAGTTTCAGTTTCAGCTCATCCGGATTTGTTCAATGCACGCTGGACCTCTCCAAAATCAGCATTCGCAACCCTAAAGCCTAATAAACCCTAAACTCTAAACCGATACCAGGCCGATGATCGCCTCAGCTGAGTCCACAGCCCAAGAGTGGAGGTCGCACAGCGGTGAAGATCTGCGTGTACCTTACTGTTGATGTGATTGCCGCTAGAATGTAATTACTCGAAAGCTGTATTCTTGTTGTCATATTTGCTGCTACTGCTGCTACTGCTACAGCTACTACGGGAGTAATACTGCTACCTCTACTCCTACTGCTACTGATACTGCTACTGCTGCTGCTGCTGCTGCTACTACTACTACTCCTACTACTACTACTACTACTACTACTACTACTACAGTACTACTCTTGTCGCTATCCGCTTTACACCTTTACGAGTCTCTGCCGCGCCTAGGCCTTCTGCAGCAACTGAGCTCTCAGCACACCTTCTCCAACCCCCTTCTTGAGATACCTCTGCGAAGCTGTGTTGGGGTTTAGGGGGTTTAGAGTTTATAGGGTTGGGGTGGATGGAAGATTTCTCTGATTTTCTTCGAAAGCCATGAACCAGCATCTTGCGGTGTTAGGTTCTGTTTACGCTGCCATAAGAATCTGATGTGTGTTGACAGGGAAACCTGCTTGTTAAGACTCGTTCCTCATCGTCTTGCAGCGAATCTGATTCGTAGGGTCTAAGTACTGCAATCTTTATACCACGATTTTTACCTCTAAGCCATGTGACGATCGCTGCAGAATGTCTCAAATGTGCTGTAGCCGCAGGAGCTATGTCAAACCAGGCTGAGCTTCGCACTGAAAGGAGTTGAAGGCCCTGGTGCCTCAGTGCGCCGAAATGCTTTCGGCTATTTCTGCTGTCAGTTCTCTTTCGCTCAGAGGTTCACTGTTCTGACCAGATTTAGGACTCTCGGATTGAAGAAAACTCCACTATTGAGCCTTAGATTTTGAGGCGACCAAACCTTTGATTCGCATGCCCAGGCCTTCCATTTCTACGTGGTCTTCCATGGCCGACTGCGGATTCTCAGGGACCCACGTTGTGGAGACAGGAACTTCCAGCAAATGACCTTGCTTGCAACCAACTGTGTAGGGTTTCAATCGCTTCAGCCGGGACAGTCATCTGCGCGACATGAACGGAGGCATCCTGCTGCAGAGACGAATCGTCTCCCATCGAACCGGCGGAAGCTTGCAAGATAAGTTGCAATTGCCACCGCAGCCTGCCGAGGGCTCGGCCGAATCGTGCGCCCTTTCTTTGACGGTGTTCACCGTCTTGAGCCTGGGGGGTCTGTACACGGGTTTCAAACACAAACCTGGCAAGCAAGATCTTGAACGCACAGACATCTGAAAGGACTTAGTGCTGCTCAATGCATGTCCTACGGCCCTACGCGCAGAAGCTGCCCTTAGTCTCTGACAAGTGGTCTGCACGGGCAGGTGGAGTGTGCGTGTCTCAAGCTAGAAGTGCTCCACGCAGAAACCAAGACTCTCTGATTTACATGAGCCTCTTCACCTCATCCCCGCCGTTACCCTGAACTCTCGCCCTCAAGCCTTCCTCTCCAACATCTCTTCCTCAGCTCGTCCCGACGTCTCAGATAAGGTCGAAGCCAGGCAATGACTCGCCAGCCTTTGGCTGGCCCAAAGCTCACGGTGGAAGCCTCAGGTCTCGCATCGCCGACACATGTGGCGAAAGACTAAACCCGAAGAATGATAGGGCCGAGGACCGACACTCACACCCAAAGCCACAAGTCCTCAAGCAAAAGCGCCGTCCTTGAACTCAACAAAACCATAGTCGCGCAGCCCACATGCTCTTCAACAAAGCTGAGGGCTTTGCGCACATCTGCTTCCGAGGAAGGTTCGGCCTTACGGTGGATCCGAAGGGGCGACAGGGACTTTCAGAACGACACTTCAGCCTGGGCATTGCAGAGCGTTTTTTGGTTTCCAAAGTCCTTCATTTTCGGCTGCCTGCAAGCATCCTACGAAACACACGAGAGCATATACTCTAAGCCCTTCTGACCCAAAATGCATCCCCAAAACGGAGGCGCGGGCTGAAGCAAGCAAAGGATGGCACGGGGGCTTGCATTTATGGATGGCAGGAATATGAGAACCTGATCAGGCTCTACGCATAGGCTGCAAGAATAAGTCAGTCTCCTGCACGGGAGAAACCCCAAGGAATCCGAGGCTCTGCGTCTGAAGAGCCCTAAGCCAAACACCCGGAACCCTGGGGGTTTGAGGAAGAGGCTCACCGACACTGCGCCCCGGCAGCTTGCTGCCGTCCTCAGGCCTCGAATCTTGTGTCATAGTGGTGTTGCTGCTATTCTGCCTGCTATCTCCAGTGGCGTTGCTGAAAGCTGAAAATGCAGATGTGTTGAACAGTACTTGTCTGCTGTTAGGACTGTGCAAAACTGCACAAGCAAGAAGAGCTGCCCCACCGAGAAGAGCACTCATCGAGTGGTTCGCATTTGACCAGGGCGCCACTTTGACCTGACACGACAGGGGTGGAGTGCCGAGGTTCCTCTTACTAAGGGTCTCCAAAGAGCCCTCGCGGTCGTGGCAGTTCTGCGAAGAGTACTGTTGATGATAAAAATCCTGCATTACCTTAAGGACCCTAAACTATGGGAATTATGGTAAATTCCTTCTTATGGGTTTAGTGCAGGATGTATATCATCCACCGTAGTGCTCAGAATCATCGGAAGCCGAGAGAGAAGCTTCCATCCATCAATGCCTTCGACTTGGCCTTGACCTCCGAGCAAAGGAGTCTGGGGGCATAGCCTTTGGACATATATATATATACACATATGTATATGATATATGTACGCATACATGCATACATGCATACATACATGTATGTATGTATGTTAGTTTATTGAGAGATGATAGATGCTACAGTAACGACGCACAGGTCAATCATGCAAGCTTAGTCCGGCGAATGACCGGATTGTTACGTACTGCCAGGCACCGACTCCGCCCGCGAGCGCGTGCATGTGTTCATTATGTGTTTTTTCATTGTACGAGGCGTGTGTTTTGCATGCCTAGTCGCATGCATGCATATGGACAAGGTCTGACTTTGGGTCGCTTCCTCTCGGTTGCAATCTCGGATCAAAGGAATGCCGAATGCCCAAAGGCGGCAGTTGCAACTCCTTTCCAAAACTTTCCAAAGCCCAGCCGGCCAAACACAAGCAATATTATTGCTTGAGGGTTCTCTGATCGCCTTTGGATACATAGAGTGCACCACAAACAAACCTCCCGAGAAAACCAAAAAACAACTAATTGTACCTGAGGCCAGGTGCGATGCTGAGTTGCGGACTTTTGGCGTGGCCTTCATAAGTACGACTTTTCCTTTGCCCTGGGCAACCAGAGCTGAACTGAGACCTCTACAACCTGTATCAACAAGGACTTTATCAAGATGCATTGATCTAGCAGGTGCATCATGGTACATGTGGAATGTGCAGGTGGAGTCTATGCCGCTCTTCATCCCCGCTTGCCGTCAACACAGTTGGACCTCAGAATTTGTTTCAGTCATATGGTTCCGGATGCAAGCTCACTTGCTGGTGCTCTCTTGCAAAGAGCAGCTTTTAGGGCTTATAGTCTTCAAAATGTAATGCATTTCCCAACGCTAAAGAGACATGCACAGAATGCGACTCGTGAACCAACCGCCGCCCTCAGTCCAATGGCAACTGTGACCAACATATATCCGTGCATGTGTATATATATATATCAGAACCTATGCGGGTGCGGCATCTCACATAACCCGCTGATCTACAGACTTCTATTTATGCTGTACTATACTATACGACACTATACCAAAATATACTATACTCTACCGTACCATCCCTGTCTGAACTAAAGTACATCTTACCCTGCTATACTATACTGGACTGTACGGAATTTTTCTATCTTATATCATACTTCACTAAATCTTACTATGAAATTCTACAGCGGGACTTTGCGATACTGTACCATACTGAGCTACGCTTGATACAGTACCTCTCCACTGCACTTTTCTATTACTTTGCTTTGCTTTTTCTATGCTAACTGAACACATGTACACAATCGCAAATACGCATGTGAATAGAGCGGCACATGCATGAATACATACATACATACATACATCCAGACAGGCAGGCAAGGAAGCAGGCAGGATGCATGTGGGCTTATACGAACACACACACACACACAGACAGACACACACCAAATAATGCTTCCATCATGTGTATACCTACCTACCTACTTACCTACCTACCTAGCTACCCGCTTGCCTGCCTGCCTGCCTGCCTGCCTGCCTGCCTGCCGACTTACCTACATGCATGCATGCATACATATCTATTTATGTATGTATATATGTATGTATGTATGTGTGTATGTATGTGTGTATATGTATGCGTATATGTATGTGTATCTATGTATACATATCTACATATATATATATATACATGTGTGTATATGTGTGCACGGTACGGATGTATTTATGTATGTATGTATGCATGCACGTATGTACCTGTAAAATGGAATTGTTGCGTATATTGACATACACCCTACACACACACACACTCAAAGTACACCATGTTTCCATGTTCCGCCTCTCTCCTCTCTCTCTCTCTCTCTCTCTCTCTCTCTCTCCCTCAATTCTGCTTTGTATGTGTCCACGCAATTGCGCATCGGCACAAGGAGGAGACATACATCTACTATCTATAAGACTGAAACACGAATTCTGTGCCAAAATTCCTGGCCGCGGTTCTCTGACCTTGCGAGGAAAACCGAGCTCCCAACTTCGGCTTTGGCCTGAGGCTGGGCTTAGGCTCAAGTTTTGGAGCTCACATTCCGAGTAGGGCGACCCGCAGCTTCAGAGTCACTCTTTTTTTTCTGAGTCTTCCCTACTTCCCGAAACAGATCCAAGGTGTTTTCAAGAACCCAAGATCTCTCCAAAAACACACTGCACAATAACACGAACTACTAACAGTTGTATTCATCAGAAGAAGAGCAGCAATAATACTCTTCGTAACAATAATTTAATAATAATAATCATAATAATAATAATCATAATCACAAGAAGGAGAAGCATAATACTAGGAACACTCCTATTCGTAATGATTGGCCCCTATCGGCCTTGGCTTTCGCCTTGGCCTTTGCCTTGGCCTTCGCCTTCGGGGCAGCGGCCTTCACTGGTGAGTTGCATTTTCGATTCCCTCACGCGCAAGTGAGTTGGATTTTGGGTTTACACTTTCAAATCTAGGAACATCCAGGCGAGGTCCCAGGCATAGTCGGAGTGAGGGTTTGGGGGTTTGTAGGGCTTCGGGTGGTGGGTGCGCATTATAGGAATAGGGCGCACCGACTTTCGCGTGCTTGCGTCAGCCTAAGTCCCGCCCCAACCACCCCAACTAGTCTCAGTTAGGGTTTAAAAGGTTCACCACTGGTTCACCTCCCAAACCCCTCAAATGGGGCTTTCTTGCTCTCTGCTTCAGGAAAACGAATGCTTCACAACAAACCACAGTTGAGATGGATTGGTGTGGGTTTGTAGGTCTTCGCGGCCTGTGCTGGCCAGCACGTTGGCTCGTTTGCTAACACATTAGCCAGCAGACATCAGCACAGGATTTAAGGGTTTAGGGCTTTAGGGGTCCCGGGGTCAAGGCAAAAACTGCTGCAGCTCGAGGTCGCGCGATGCATGAAGATGGTCCGATTCTGATGGACATGCCGTCCTCACCCCTCTCCCGGCCTTCGATTTGGCCTTGGCCTTGGCCTTAGCCTTTCCCTTGGCTTTCGCTTTGGCCTTGGCTTTAGGCTTCGCCTGGCGCACATCTTTACTGCACGAGAAGGATGGTAGGATTGTCGGCCACTCACATGTTCCCCGACAGACACTCTCAGCAGCAAGAAACGGGCTCTCCACGCCTGGGATGCGGCAACCAGCGACTGTGATTCCAGCTTCGACGTCTGCGTGTTTTTCGCTGCGACCTGCGGCGTGGCACTGGCTTCAAAGTCTGAAGGCGGTGGTCCCATACTCTGAATGGCTGATCCAGAAGGCTGGGTCGCACACGCTGACCTGTGAGGATGGGCCTCGCGAGCGGGCAGGAATAGCGACCTATCAAGCCTCAAGGAGAGAAGATCGACATAGATTGATGATCGACTAGCATCCGTCATGGAAATCAGGCGGCCCAGACTGTGGAAGCGCTCCTACTATTCGATCTACATTGCGTATGAAGGCAATCGCCCCAATCAGGTCATCGTGATTTCGCCGACAGAGGCCGACAAGCAAAACTGCTGTTGCAAGAACCGGTAAATCGCCAACTGAGCAGCACCCCAACCTACCTGAATGCCAAGAAATCTTGATCGAGTTCGACTGCAGAAAAAAACAAAGCCAACAACCAACAAACATTTGTGCCAGCACATCCTGGACAGCATTTCTTCAGGAGCATGCCAAAATTGATGGCCATAGGGGTTCCCACGGCTGCGACGGTGTTCGGGAATTGCAACGTCGATGTATGCTACCGGTACTTTTCTAGGTTTACCGCTTCTTGCCTGAGGATATTGTTGGAAGCATTGTAGTATGAGCGCATATAGAAGCACTGAGGACCCGACAGGCGGGGCGCTTCTTTGCATCTGGCGGTTGCAATCGAGTTGATCGCGCTTAGTCTGTGCATGTTTCTTCGGGATCTGACTTCTCAAATGCACAGATGAAATTAGACTTCGATGGATTCCAAACGACCCCTCTTCTTCAAGGGACTTTACCATTGTATCAGATATCAGCAGACAATCAACTCCGCTGGATGAATCTGGCAGAAGTAACACCCAACTCGGGCAGGAGAGCGGAACTCAAATTGACTACCATACCGCTCCGAAGCAAACTAGATCCTAAAGGTCCTAAACACCCTATCCCGTAAGCCCTCTGCAGCTCATCCACAAGACCAAGCCGCGCACCCTGGCTTGGCGAGGCCGGAGGTGGGTCTTTCGCCACCTGGGACTTCTGTGATGCCTCGGGCAGCGCAGGCAGAGGGGGGCCGTGAGAGCTGCAGGGGAGGCACCGGGTGCAGACCGACCTGCAAGGACTAGGACTATGCGGGTTGTCATGCCGGCTATAAACGTCTATAGACCCCAACTGTAAACCCTAAGGGTTGTCAAGCAATTGTGGGGTTTCGGAGTTTCTTAGACCAGAATCCAACTCTAAAAGGAAATCCTTAGGAATAGAAATCCAAAGGGCCACCGGGGCATCGGCCACGAAGGTGGCAGACGCCTGCTCTTCCAGAGCCTGGTGTCTCCATGGGTATGGGGTAGTCGAGGGTTTGAATGGGGCCCTTTGGGACGCTTGCAACATTCTTTCAACTTTCGGCGCTCACACAAACTCGCCAGCCGAGGCATCTTTCAACTTTACGCTCTCGCAACTCGTGCAGGCCAGGCGAAGTCTGTCAGGTGTGAGTGGGTGCGAAACAAGTAAAGTTTTCAACATTTTCGCTCTCACAACTCGGAAAACTTTAGGGTTTGAGGGCGGCGGATCATGGTTGTCGGGATGCTGTAGCAATTGTTTACACGATTCCTGCCTCAGTGCTGAAGGTGACCTCCTGGCCGTCACAGAAGGCGTAGGTGCTAGCTGTAGCATCCAAATCCTGAGCTGCAGGACTCAGGGTGAAGTTGGGAAACTGATCATACCCTGTCCTGCCGCCAGCTATTGCACCAATTTGAACGAGCCCTATCCTTAGACCCACAATTCTTCAAATCCAAGCCAAGCTCCTTGAAGAGAGCCAGAAGTCTCTGCACTCCGAAGTCCACATGTAATTCAGGCCCACGCCAGATCTGGATGCTCTGGCGTTGACCTCTACATGGCATCACATACAGTGGGAGGGACTCCCTGCTGTATTATATTCCTGGACCTGCAACAGCAGACTACAGTATAGCCTGAAGCATAAACTCAGAGCCTTTGCAAACCCCAAACTGTCCTGAGTTTGCGGCAGCCGAAGCACCTCCTCCTGCTTCACGCCTGGGTGTTCTTCTGAGGAGCATGATGCAGCGTGCCATGGGCAGCACGCAAAGCGCCACAAAAACACACAGACACATATATATATATATATATGTGTGTGTGTGGAGGTCTGTGGGTGGGTGTATACACATATACACATATATCAATATACATGCACCACTACTACTACTACTACTTCTTCTACTTCTACTTCTGCTTCTGCTACTACCACTACTGCCACCAACCCCACTTGTACTGGCACGCTGAGTCTAGCTTGCATGCATGCCCCGCCAAAACATCCAGAGGTCGAAGCTCAGTTCCCGAAACACGGCGTAGGCTCGAGCGAAACGCCTCGGCAGCCGCTGCAGTAGACTTTGAGATTCGCGGTACAGTTGGTGGTCAAGTCTGACAAGCTTTGCCCCCAAAGGGGGTGCTCACATGTCCACCGAAGCTTGAAACTCAAATTAGTCGATCGGCATTGCTGCTGCTGGGGTTCAAAGATTCGAGTCTAGGTGCTGGTAGTCCAAAGCCATGACGTTGTTCACTTCGACCAGAGCCGACGGCGCGACAAATTGAGGTACCCTCCATCCAAAGTGCCTACAGTATTGCAGTAGAACGTTGCTACAACAAAGGTCTGCTGACTGGCATAGCGTTAAGGGCTTATCCGAACTCATGAATCTGAAACCCCGAATATTATACACCTCAAGCTGTACGCCCCATGCGCGAAGAAAACAGCTCGGTAGTTTGTCCATGGGGACGTCCGCAAAGGCTCATCCCACTCAGAATTACAGGCTGGCTTAGTTGGACTCCGAAGAATGAGCCCACGCATCTAAACCCCGTCTGAGCAGGGACTGTAATGCACTCAGCCCTGCTTCGCTTTAGCCAAGCTGTCTGAATCCGAACCCTGAGTTTCAAACCTACTTAAGCCTGCAACAAGCGCAAAATGTGTGCTAAAGTGCTAAACCCCTTCCCAGAACCTGAACCAGACCTACACCCTGAGACAAAGTCACCTCACAGCTAAACTCTGAACTCCCAGAAGAAGAACTGTCCAGCCGGCCTCAAGGGCTGATCGAAACGGAGTCGAAACGTCTGCGGTTCGTGGCTGCCTGACTGCTACTACTAGGAGTAGCAGTAGTAGCAGCAGTAGTAGTAGTAGTAGTAGTAAGTAGCAGCAGTCGTAGTAGTAGTAGTAGTAGTAGTAGCAGCAGCAGTAGTTGGACGCTCAGGGTCTTCAGCAGGTTCGAGAGCCATACCGCGACCGGAGACTGCAAAATCTCTCCGGTGCTGGGGCACTTCAAGGCTTCAGGTTGCTGCACCAGAAATCGGAGTCGCTCTTCCGACCTCGCTCTCTCGTTCAGAGTTGGATCCGTAGGAAAGCCAGGTAATGAATTGCTCCATGTCCGGGTTCACAACTTCAAGAAGGAACAGTCGCCACTGCACCCCAGAACCCTCATTCTGAGAAGACCCGGCCATCTGAAGCAATCGCCAGGAGGTGAAGGAAGCTCGACGCTGCCTGCAAGCAACCCCCTATCTCAACATACAGCCACACTGAAAGAGTTCTCCGGAATACTTCTTGACTGCTTCGCCATCGGCTCATTAGTAGAGGCGCTTCTTGATTTTTGGACCGCCCAGTCTCACACATGAAGCAAGTCTGAAAGTCAGCCCAGCCCTTTAACACGATCCTGCATCTTCATCCACCGCACTTGAAACTATCACTGTATTCACTTCAGCGCAAGCCGAAGAACAACCAACACCATAACAACTTCGACCTTAACATCCACCCGAACAACAATCGAAGGCCCAACAGTACAAGAACAACGCCACCTTCATCCCTAACCCCCTTTGAATGCAAGCAGCCTTCATGGTCTTATTCAGTAATGGCTCAAGTTGAGGTTGTGACATGTTTTGTTACGGTCAACGAGGTTGTGTGTCGGCGACGGGCAGGTTGACAGTGCGAGACGGCTCTGCAGTATGGGTTCAGAGGTCGCCTGTCAGCCACCAAAGCACATCTAACCCAGGTCCCCAACATAACGCCAATCCGCGAAATGCTGTCCTTCTGCCCTTCAGCCGCCAACCCCTGCAACCCAAAGCAAGACATTTTGTTTTATCTTTCCCTCCCTCCCTCCCTCCCT